ATTTCAGGCAATAATCGTCATTATAATTAAATCTTCATTGTATATTATATTATCAATATATTATTGTCCGATTATTACTATCATATAATTATCCAATTAATTTAAATATCGTCATTATTTACCTCATTATTTAGAGAGTGTAAGTTATTATAAATCATGTAAATTCGTACATAATTCGCAAATTAATCTTTATAGCACATAGAAGGAACATTGATCAATAGACAATTAACACACAAAAAATACCCTCTTTAAATTCTCAAGTTCTGCAAAAATAATAGAGAGTTTTTCGTTACTCCACATCCTACTTTTTGCAAATTATAAGGCCTGTTCGCTAGGTTTCGCTAGATTTTCGGGTTCGGATGCCCACATTAAGAAATATTTATGTTTTCAGACACTTTTCTCGAGTACCTTTATATCTCCCTCTTATCTTTATTAAAAGACTCTCTCTATTCTGCATCTATAGACACCTATGACGCAGACGTTTTAACTTTTTGGGATATTAGTATATTTGGACCATTATCATCATAGTATATATTGTCACTGGTATCATCATCATTATTATCCTATATCTTCTGGTGGGATGATCAGCAATTTTACAGTATAACCCGTCTTATCGGGATATGGTAAGCCACGCTCGCTATACTCCATACAAGTTTCATTTTAATTTCCATCTAATGAGGCATTACTGATGGGTCATTCCCCCTATAAACCGTAGATTATTAAATGCGGTTTATGGGCAACTGTTCATACATCCATTATTAAAATAAATATTATCTTTCAGTTATTATAAATAGGAAAATATAAAGTTACGTATTCCTTACTGAAGGACTTTAATTATATATCTAGGTATTCTTTTTTTCTTTTTTATAATTCAAACGTAGGAATATTTGTTTCCAATGAAAGTGATTATAGGGTTCTGTGGTTAATTATTTTGACTAGTGATTTTGGTTATTATTTTGGTTATTATTTTGGTTACTGATGTAAATAATGATAATATGATAGTATGAAATAATGATGATAGTATATGATAGTTTGAGGATCATAATGCATAGATGATAATATGATAATGGTGATAGTAATAATGAAGATTATAATAATGATAATAATGATAATAATAGCGATAGCAATCATAATGATGATAATAGTAACAACAACAACAATGATAATAATGATGATGATAGGAATAATAATAGTGATAACAATAATGATGATAATGATGATAGTGCTAATACTAATAGTAATGATAATCATAATGATAATAGTAATGATCATAATGATGATAATCATTATTATCATTATCCTCATTATCATCATCATGATTACTATAATTTTTTTCCATTATTGATATTAATACTATTGCCATTATTGTTACAGTCATCATTATCATTATCAATATAACGAAAAATGAAAAGGGAAAATAATTTACATCAAGAGAGTGAAAAAAAATACGCTCGTTTACCCTTGGGTGATTCGCGGTCAAAGTCAGCTGTTTTCCTTCGCCTTTTCAAACGCCATATTGTTTGTTGTTGTTGTTGTTTTTTTCTTTATCTTGACCTTGAGGTAGGTGAAAGGTGAAGGAGAATCGAGAGAGAGAAGGAGAGAGATAGAGAGAGAGAGGAAGAGAGGGAGGGGGGGAGGAAGGGAGGGGTGAGGGTGGGAAGGATGGAGGGATAGAGAGAGAGAGAGTGAGTGAGTAAAAGAGAGAGAGAGAGAGAGAGAGAGAGAGAGAGAGAGAGAGAGTGAGTGAAGTAATAGAGAGAGAGAGAAATGGAAGATACAAAACCTCATGGGACGAGATAAAACCATAAAATAAATAACAATAACAATAAAACATCAGAAGAAAATAAACAAACAAAAAATATACAAAAAAATAATAACTACAAAAAAGGAAAGATAAGAAAAAAGGAAGCAAAAAGGTTTATGCAAATTAATAATCTCAGGAAAAGAGGAGAACAAACAAAGAAAACGGGAGAAAAGTAAGATTAAAAATTCATAGTCACGGAGAGCGAGAATTCTTGATTAAAATTCAGATTGAAAATCATCTATTTGTTTGTTTATTTGTCTTTCCGCCTATGTCTTTGTTTGTGTTTCTGTCATTCTGTTATTCTATCTCTATCTATTTTTCTGTCTATCTTTCTGTCCATGTATACATTCTCGTTCTAACTCTCTCTCTCTCTCTCTCTCTCTCTCTCTCTCTCTCTCTCTCTCTCTCTCTCTCTCTCTCTCTCTCTCTCTTCTCTCTTCTCTCTCTCTCTCTCTCTCTCTCTCTCTCTCTCTTCTCTTTCTTTCTCTATTTATCTATCTATCCATCTGTCTATTTCATCTATTTATCTATCTATTACCTCTATCTGCCTATCAATCCAACTACCCATCTATCTATCAACCTATCTATCTGTCCTGTTCTGACCAACTCTGTCTCTCTAACTCTATCCTGATCTACCTCTGTCTTTTTATCTTTTTTTTTTTCTATCTATCGCATATTGTCTCTCTTCCTTTTTGT